CGATACTTATTTTTTCAGATGCCTGCCTGCGATGCCAAGCGGAAAGCAAAAGGAAGTTTACGGCCGACAGGATTGCGTGGTCGTTTGGGGCGAGTGCAATCATTCGTTTCATTACTGCTGTATGTCGCTTTGGGTTAAACAGAACAATCGTTGTCCATTGTGTCAGCAAGAGTGGTCCATTCAACGAATGGGAAAATAATCTTTACGTGACTGCAGCCTCTAATCTTTTGTTGCGACTGTTCAATCACATTAATCATAACGGATTCGAAAGTCACATTAATCATAACGGATGCGAAAGTCAAAAAGCTATGTTGAGTCTTAATTTTTTTTTTTCCTTTTGAAAGATTTCTTCAAAGATTTTGATAATATTTAGTCATTTACAGTGAAGCCTTGAACAAGAATTAATTTATTATAAGAATAATGATTAATAAACAGTTATATACAAAATATGTGAAAGCAAATTTTTTAAATCTTTCCTTTAATAAATTATAATTTTTTATTCGTATTCATGAAAATTGTTAACAAATCCATTCCAAATCTTTTGTATTTCATAAAATATTAAATTTTGAAATTAGTGATTATTTAATATAAAAATTCCAAGCATTTATATTATTATTTTAAATTAATAAAAGTAATATATAATTTTAATAGAAAAATACTTTTATTATTCTTTCTCACGTTTTAGAATTCTATAGGATCTTATTTTTTTTTAATATGTTATAAAAATGTTTATGTTTTATATGTTACTAAATTATTGTTTATTATAAAACAATTAATTAAAATAATTTTATTTTATTTTAATATTTTGATATTTTATTCTGATTCTCTTTTATGAAAATTTAAAATTTAAAAATTTATGAAATTCTATAAGTAATTTGATAATTATTTGATATTGCATTATTAAATTTAATTAAAAGAACAATTGTCATTATATTAAATTGTTTCGAAACTGTCTGAGACATATGATGACTTATTGTTCGCAAATATTCGGAAGTGAAATTATAAAAATTATCTCTAAAGATAATTTCTCCTCTCGTATCGAAGTACAAAGTATTATTGTCGTGTGGACCTGGTTTCAATGTTCGAGATAAGTATAGTCTGAAAGTATTGTTGTTAAACATTACATAAGAGATATTTTTATCTTGAGCTGCGAGAAATGTAAACAATGAATTATCAAAGTCAGCGCTGACAACGCCAAATTATTATTAAATATATGATTAGATTTAAGTTTTTGTGAGAACTGCGATTTCATCAAAAAAGTTTAATTTATTAATTTATATTAGTTTAATCAATTTTTTGTCTCCCATTTCAGATTAAAAATAGCGAAAATAGAAATTGAATTGACACAAAAATTTATCGTCTTGCTAAACATGAGTAACTATAAAAACTTATAAGAAGAGAAAAATAATTTGCATTGTCCGGTTTTAAAGTATTTAGGTTGATATCGTATGATGCATTGCGATTTAGTCATTTGCGATGACATTGCTTAAATTTTGCCTAATCATGATATCCTACTCTGTTTAAAAGGCGTATTTTCTGACATGCAGACATCTATTCCTTCTGGAAAATCTTGAATCAAATATTGATAATATTTGTATTATTAAAAATTGTTTCATCATAGATAAAGATATTAACATAATTAAATAAATTTGTTAGAATTAATTAATTAATTATACATTAATTTTAATTTAATTTAGTTTAGAAAAGTTAGTAAAACAAACTTATTCAATTAAATATATCTGTCAGAATTGAATTGTACTTAATCAAGAAGCCTTAAAAGTTGATCAAGAAATTATTTTAAAATTTGAAAGATATCTAAACTAAAGATATTCTTGAATTAAAAATTTTCATACTGTCATCGTAAAATTCTATAAGTCGAAAAAATACATGCATATAGTATGTAATTAAATTAATAATGGCAAACGCTACATACAATCGTAAATTTATGGGATTATTGATAGCCGCGAAATAGGACATTAAACGTTTATTAAGGGACATATTATAACTACACATCTTTAACGATACGATTTATCAGCGATTTTATCTGATAATAAAAATTTATAGTTCGAGCGACGAAGTGACTGTGCGTTGATGTCTCTTGATAGAAAGCGATGGGGTCAACGAGCTAGAAGTAACATTCCGACCTTTCCATTCCAATTCAGAATGTAGAATTGATTCTTTGGTTCTCAATTGCTTGCACGAATTCATAGATGCATAGTTTTATAACTGTGCAAACATTACCGATATAGTTTATCTAAATGATGCATTATAAATATTTCATGCTTTTTTTTTAATGTTTCCCAAATAAGATATAAAGGCCAAATGTCTTAATTTTTTTAAGGTC